AACGGTGCAAGTTCCCACCCCCGGGCCCACCATGCTTTGCAGTATCCTCAAGACCATTGGCCCCTACCACTCCACCCAGACACCGAAAAACTAAAACCCTAAACCCTCCCTGAACTCCAAAAGGCGAGTCTGGAGCGCCTCCTCGCCCAACTGACGCGCAGCCTCCTTGGCCTCCTCGGAGACCTGGGCCTTGGCCTAGCGTAGCACTTCGCTGAATGCTGTTTAAGGTTTTTGGGGTTGGTGCTTTTGTTTCCCCTTTCTTTGGAGGGTTTATGAAGCCTGAACCCCAAGCCGAAGCCGAAACCCAAATGGAGGTGAAGACCCTGCTGCGCCTCGTCACTGACTTGCCGCACTCGCTGGCCGGGCTTCTCCAAACCTCGGCTTGAGACTCGCAAAGTCAAAGCCTGCACTTCGGGCCTTGAGTAGGGCGCTTCGGATGATCGGCTTACTTAAGCTGCAGGCCCGGGCTTCAAGATGCTCAAACACTCCTTAAGCATCCTTAAGCCCTGAGCCCTTTCACCCCCAAAAGCCCTTGACCAAACCCAACCAAAGGATCTTGGAGGCCCCCTGAGGCCAGCGGCGGTACGGCCCGCCACGGCCTCCCAGCCCGGCGGTGTCAGCCCCACCGGTGCCACCAGCCCAGCGGTTGCCTGGCTCAGGGATGTCTCTTAGGGCTTTGAACTTAGTGTTGGTTAGCAGCTAGCAGGGAATGGGGGAATGAGGTACTCTATGTAATCCCTTGAAGGGTATAAAAAGGGCCCTTATTCCCTCATTCCCTGCTAACCAACAGTAAGTGAAGGGGCAAAGGGTTAGAGCCCCTGCGCTGTCTCGCAGACGCTTAGCTTTCCGTTGGACCTTGTGGTTTTGCCTGGAGCCAGATTTGCACGGCTCCAAGACGCTGGGTCTGTGCTACCTTCCACTACACGGACTCAAGCTGTCAGAGCACCCAACTTCTCAAGCCAAAGCAACGATTTACCCTCAAACATCTGTCCAGCAATCTGTCCAATGAAGCCGGCCTCCGATGTGCTCCTTGTCATCTTCATCGCCGTGCTTTGGGCTCGAGACGTCCTGCTCAACGGAGTTCGGTGGGCTTTCCACAAAGTTGGGTTGGCCCGTCTGCAGCTTCAATGCGAGACTTCACAGGAGTGCTCCCCAAAACGACATGAACGTTGCAAGTCACATGCTTAAATCCAACGAAGCCCTGACGGGAAAACCCCGCCTCAAGCCCTGATGAATTTTAGATGACTGAATATCAGAATATAAGGAGACAATAAAACAATAACATAAACATTACAATTTTAATACAATGTTGATCTACCAATATGCGTGGTTTCAGGGTTTTCATTCATGACAGCTCGGCACGACCGGAGGCCTTGGCCTGCCCTCTGCCACTGAGCTCTTCGCGCCCACCGCTCAGGGACAGATCCCTGAGGCAACAGGGCAGTGTAGGGCAGCGGGAGCTCGGGCGTGACTTCGGCTACCGACACAAGTACCGCCAAATTAGAGGTTTGTCGTTGGACCGGATGGGCAGCTTATCCCAAGATCTCTCAGGACAGCATTGTCATTCAGGATGACAGGTGCACTTTTTTGAAACGGCATGCTGGCGGGCACCTGCCTCATCTTCTGCTGCTGCCGCCGCTGGCGAAGTGCTCGCTGCAGTAGCCTCTGGCGGACGCGCTGAGGACCGCCTCGCCCTCGCCCTTGCCCTCGCCCTCGTCCTCGCCCTCGTCCTCGCCCCTGGCCGGGAACTCTTCCACCTGACAGAGAGCCTTGTGCTGCACGGCCTGCACGGCCCGCACCCCTTCCAAGCGCTTGGCCGTCTGTTCGGCCCCCAACTCGGCCAGCGCCGCCAACACTGCCTGCGGGCTCACGACCGGCTTGGCCGTTCCGGCCACCAGGTCGGGCCGCCGGCTTGCCAACCGACATGCGCGTTCCCGCGCCGGCACGACCGCCAGCGCTTCCACCAGTGCTGCCAGCGCGGCCTGCACGACCAGCGCCAGCGCGGCCTGCGCGGCCTGCACGGCCAGCACCCGCGCGACCAGGCGCACCGCGTCCAGGCATTCCACGCCCCCGTTGTGAGCGCCCACCCTTTCGCCTGACTGGCAAGAACATGATGTATAACACGTAAGTGGGCCAATCTCAAGAAGTACTCGGTAACCCCCGAAACCTTGAACTCAAAGTGAGGCCTGGCAGATCGATTGGAAGGCATCTGCATGCCAGACACTTCGCCGGTGTCCGACATCTCGCCACCCTCGCGAGGTTTTCTCGTTTTAGCAGGGCATTCATTTATGTGCAAGGCTGGGGGACACTGAAAACCCCTGACCTAGGATTCCATGGACGACTAGAACCTAGTAGGTCTGTGGCGTTTGGCATGATCCGGGTGGAAATTGAACTTGAGTCCCAAACTCAGCTTGTCCTCGTCTCCGTCGTCCTCCTCCTCCTCCCCCTCGAGTTCTGACTCTGCGTCTGCGTCCTCACCTCCACAAAGTCGCATTAGCCGACTTCTGCCTTGAACATTCTAAGGGCTAAGCCCCACACCTGGAACCTTCAATGTGTGAAATATGCTGATGTATATACAATAGTCAATAGTCTACGTAAGATATATATATATATATATATATCAAACAAGTACGTAAAGAAAAACAAAAATGAATAGATACGTAACTACATGTATAGACATAAGCTGTATATATGTATATACACACATGCACACGTACATGGTTATACATGTTACATACGCATAAACATAAGTACAAATAGAGATGTAAAAAACACAATATATGCTGTACATACACACGTACATATACATCTACATACGCATATACATGTACATATACATGTGCACATACACGTACATATGCATGCACCCCCCCCCCCCCCGACCCCCCCCTTCCGACCCCCCCCTTCCGACCCACCATGCACTACGTCGGCAAGTGTCTTGGAACTAGCGAAAGATGCAGATGTGTTGATGCTGGCACTAGATTTTGATTTGAATACTCAAGAACCCACAAATCCAAAACTCCAAAAGTGTTGAGGCTAACCATCCCAAATTTCCGCTAGCCCACAAATTAAGGTATCATTACGCAATAGGATGTTCATCTGTTCAGAGCGAGGTGCCCTTGGGCAACAAGCCTGAAACCTCGCCCTGCATGCCTTCGTCTTCACCGTCGCCCTCCTCCTCCGCTGCATGGAACTCCTCCATGTCTTCCTTGGGGTTTAGGGTTTAGGGTTCAGGGTTCAGGGTCCTTCCTTGGGGCCTAAACCCTGCTCAGCTGCCACAATCCTAGACCTGAGAGGGTCGCAAAACACACTGGTTGCAAGACAGTGTGCCTCATCCATGTCGTCGTCGTACTCTTCCGCTTCATCATCTTCCGCATCCTCCCCCTCCTCCTCGTCGAACTTTTCCTTCGCGGCAGAGTACATGGAGGTCCAGCTTCACGTCTAAACTCGAAACTTGTTAGCACAATTAGGCCACGGAAAAGATACCTTAAGCCATATAGGTTAGGCCACAGGCCTTGAATTAGGCCATAGAAGTACAATGAAGACGATTTTCCAAAAGGAGTTGCATGTGTGGCATCGACAAACCACAGCCCTTGCACCCAGAAAGTGCAGTTCCGAAGGAAGTAAGCAAAGCCACTTCCGGTTACTGAAGCCCCACCCGAGCCACGACGATGAAGTACAACCCAGACTCAGAACATGTCAGAGTTGCGGCCTCTAAGCCCCTTGACTCATCTGCTCAACTCCCTCAACCTGCCAAAACCCTAAAACCCTAAAACCCTAAAACCCTAAAACCCTAAAACCCTAAAACCCTAAAAGCCTAAAAGCCTAAAAGCCTAAAAGCCTAAAAGCCTAAAAGCCTAAAAGCCTAAAAGCCTAAAAGCCTAAAAGCCTAAAAGCCTAAAAGCCTAAAACCCTACAACCCTAAAACCCGAAAACCCGAAAACCCGGAAACCCACGATGTGGTGATGGGGACTCCTCCAGGAGCCCTCGAAGGCCCTGGCGCTGGAAGTGCTCGGTGAGGCTCTGAGCCAGGCTGCCCGGATTCGCCTCTCAAGAGTCAACCCGACGGTACTTATTAGCCCAATTAGGGTTTGGGGGCTGGGGTTTAGGGTTTAGGGCTTAGGGCTTAGGGCTTAGGTTACTACCTACCACTTAGTTGGAGGTTCATATAGTACCCCCTAGTATGATCCCCATTAAGGACTGTTAGTATCAGGGGGACTATCCTGGGTATTGGGCTGTGTGGGTGTTCCTCCAAACCCTTAAATTTATATGCCCCTGATATACCCTACTTGGAGGTCATGGTACTTATTCACCCAATTCCAACTGTGCTTATAACCCAAGTATAACCAGGTTCGGCCACTGAAGGGGCTTATTAAGTGGGTTGCAAGTACAGTTACAACTGGGTTATTAGTACATGAGCCTCCAAGTAAGGGTAGTGGGATGCCCCCTAGATCTGGGCCCTTAGATGGGGACCCCTTATATGCCCCTTATTTAAACTACAAAACTATCCTTAGAAGGCCAGAGCAGGCCTGGGCATTTCTGGGGTGAGTTCAGGATGCAATCGGGGGAGATTCTGTGGCCGCTATGTCGGATCCTCTGCTGCGGAAAAACGATGAAGCTGCTCATGAGGGACAAAAATCTTTGACTCGAGGTTGATCCAATCGAATTTGGAACAACCTCCAGTGTGCAGATTCCATCTTTCAGCCCGGCCCAATGCTGTGAGAACAGATCCTATCAGGGGGTCTTGTTGGACAAGGACTGCGAGCTGCAATGTTTGGGAATCCAAGCTTTGGTTTCTGTAGGCCATGAGGCACAGTATCGCTTTTCGTTATCTAGTGCCGGATGTTGGTCGTACGCACTACCAAACATACCTTCCTTTGCCTTGTGCTGTGCGAGACGAACGAGTCAAGGTTCAACGTGTGCAAGACTTAACGTCAGACCCCAAGCCGCGCCTCCACCCACCGGATTTCACCGCTCTCGAAGCTCGCTACGCAGCGAGCGCTCCGGGTTTGGGTGTCGGCGGCGTCTGGCCAGGCATGGAAGCAGTTCGTCGAGGTGGAGAGGTTTCAGATTTACATGTTGATCTGAAGCAACCTAAGCCTCAAACCCGGGCCGTTAAGGACTCCGAGCTGGGGGGAATCTTCCTCTGGCAGCATTTTCGGTGTTGGGGTGTTGGGCTTCCGTCTGCCTTTAGTATCTGGGGAATCTTACGAGGAACTTCGCCAGGTCTGCCTATTCCACCGTGAAAGTCGATATGTTTGCTTGCGAAAATTGCAGACCCAAATGTTAGAGTCTTGGAGTGCCATTGTGAAACTTTCCACTGGTAGCAGGTAGCATTTCTAGCAGATCCCACCAACAGGAGTAAAGTCAAAGTACACAGCTGCCAGACTGGGCATAGTACTCCGGAACGTCCACAGACATAGGATGAGAAACTCGCGTTGCAACAGTTCTCCAGTCCTTTTCATGACCTCAACCGGAAACCATCGTAAGCCCTGTCATTCACTCGAGCCGAAATCCCGCAGGGGGCCCACCACTCCTTCTCCCGGAAGGGATGCACCAATCCACGGCAGCAGCCGCGCAACCGCCACGGGACCAGATTCAGGACCTCGCGCTCGGGCTCAAAGGCTAAAACTCGAGGGCGCATTGGGGGGGTTAGGGCACGTGAAGGGCTTCGTAGTGGCCGCATTAGGAGTGTGAGGGCACGCGTTAGGGTGCAATTGGGAGCCCCGCACCGACTGACCTTACATCCGGAAGAAGCACTCTTCAAATCACGTCCCGAAACTCAGGTCATGGGCTCTTCTTGCGTCCGTATCCTGTGGAAAGCTTCTTCCTCAACTATTGGATTAGGAAACACCCCGAATCCTGATGATAGTCTCCAGCAGTCCAGGCCAGGATATTGAAAGGAGGACCACGCGGCGGGTGAAACTTGCGGGTGTCACATCTCGGGCTTGAGCGTAGGCTTATCCGCACACTAGGCTTCGGGAAAGATGGCCAACTGCCAGAACCCAAAGCTGCTCAAAACCACCAACTCCAACACATAAAGCCCAGAAAAAACCAAAAAAACAGAATCCCCCCACCCCCCCCCCCCCCCCTCACCCTCCAAACCTCTCTTTCCAGAGAAGACCCGCTGTGCATCCTGGTGGCTGGCAGCATCCTTTGGCTGCCAAGCCGGAAGCTGGCGCAAAGTCCTTCCGGGCTTTACAGCAGCCAGTGTGTGGCTTGAGGGGCGACATGGCTTTAGGCCTTCAAGGTTCGGGAAGCCGAAGCACTTGAATCCCACACCATGGCAATGCTAAAAAGCTCAGCATGGACCCGCAAAAGACCGCGAGGCCCCTAGGCCCCAGTTAGGAGTTTCAGTGGATTTCGTAAACCCTTTTGGGCTTCGTGAGTGTATCTGCTGTCCTTGTGGGAAGATGGACGAACTCCAACCTTGCTGGTGGCTGGCAGTCGGATCTTAAGCGCCCCTTTCAGAGTTTCAGCCTCCTTTTTGCTCTGCTGAGGGCTTTTTGGGTACTGAGCGATGCCAAGTCCCAGGCCAGTCTTCGTGGCCCTCCGGGGAGGACAGAGCACGGATTAGGAGCTCGCCATCCCCCAGGGAAGCCTTAGAGGGTTTGCCGCAGGCTCTTGGCGGCTTTGGGATCTGGGGGCTTCAGCGTTCGGGATTGAAGGGTTTGCAGTAGCTGGTTTGGCGGGTTTGGGGGTTGAGGTTGACTTTAACCACAAGCACTTGGACCCTACAATCAAGCTGCCAGCGGCTGGGAAGGATGGTTTAAGGCTCCAGAGGAGTCACTTGAAAGATGAAGGCCTAAATTCGAGTTTGGAGCTGTCCTGCAGCTCTTCAAGAAACCGGACCTGCCACGGACTCTACATACTTCACCAGAAGTGCAGCTGCCATGCCGCGTCTTGCAGTGCCAGGGGCCACGTCGCGGCTTCGCCACAGGTGCCGCGGCAGGGGCAAGTCGGGTGTGGCAGTGGCAACAAGCGCCTTCGGGAGCACAAGCCGCAGGAACTCTAACTTGGGATGTTCCCCGTGAAACAAAAAGTCCTTCATAGGGGTTGTAGTAGGAGCTTACTATAATCCCTATTAAGGACTGTTAGTATAAGGGGAAAACATCCCAAACTATAACTATGGTTCAGGGCTTAGCCTAAGTAACCATTCAGGGCTTCAGGATTGGAATGCAGATGAACCCCCACCCCCCCCCCCGCTCCCGGCCTTGATTTGGTCCTCAGATGCTTTGCTGAGATCCTCGGCAGATGCCGGCCACTCCTCTTGAGGCCTCGGAGGGGTTTCAAGCACCGAAGCAACGACAAAAAACTCCTCTTGTGACCTCGGAGAGGTTTCAAGCACGGAAGCAGGCGAAAAGGAAGGCGGTGGTCACAACCGACACGTTGGGGTACAAAGCTGGATCGCTGCCAGGAACCCAGTGAAACCATGAACTTCCATGGCCGAAATTCTGGGGAGCAGTTCACCGAAAGCGGTCCTACACCCAAGCCAAACTCACCAAACCATGTCGTGTGATGATACCATGGCCCCGAAGATGCCCGCAGTTATTGCAGATTTTGGTAACACCCACATTCCTCACTCCTTGAAATCTTCACTCCTTTGTTTTGTTCGAAGCTCTCTAAGCTTCCTCTGAAACTCTAAGGAAGCTCAGGGCCGAGCGCTTGGGGCGCGCGACTCCCCTGCGCAGGGGCGCAGTAGGCCCAGCAGCCCTGTGCCGACAAAGGTTTTCGTTTTCTGAGGCTTCGTACGTTGCGACTTTGCTTATTATATTTCTTTGTTTGAAAACCATGATGCAAATGTTCATCTCTTCGAGTCGCAAAAAGGTCCTCGGCAGTGACGCATAGAATGATGGGTGTGCGAAGGGTTTCTGAACGACGAGACTTCACCGATAAAACGCGAACGTGCAAGTGCTCACCAGACGTTCTTTCTGGTCAGTAGGCATCGTGGGATGATCATGTTTGGTATGAAGCAGGAACTTTGCCGCACCAAATGCTATGCGCTCAAGTGGTTCATGTAGCAAGCCAAGCCGAAATCTCCAAATGTGGTGTTCTAACCTCCGAATGCTGAACCCCAAGGCCCAAAACCCAAGTTTCTTAACCTGGAGCCTGGAGCCTGGAGCCTGGAGCCTGGAGCCTGAAGAAAGCTGCATTCCGAAGACGCAAGGCTTGAGGAACTGCGAGTCTTCTAGAAACCGGCAGAGGCCAGAGCCCGGCCCCTCCAACAGAAGCTCCAAGTCCTGAACCCGTCTGGCCGGTGCTACTAGTAGTGCCTTCGATCCATCTTCCTGGGCCAGACCATCCAACACGTGGGCAACCGCCGTGTTGGATGCCTCCTCGCCACGTGTGTTCAAGCAAAGAGCGAAAGCACGATTGAGCAGCCTTCATTTGCAGCTCAAGTCGTCCACCGTCCTAGAAGTCTCTCTTGTACGAACTCTCACATGCGCCATTAAAGGATGGCTCTGCAGGCGGGTGAAATTAAGCAGGGGCCCTTCTGTAACCAATCTGCAGGGGGCAGTCTGCAAACGCTTGTTCTGCAGAATCAGGTTTCAACTCGGCGGTGCAAAGCAGCCTTAAACGACGAACGGGCTTCTCATGTGAATCAAGTTGGTTGCTTAGGTTCGGCATGCGAAGTCAAGCAGTGAGTAGCCGCTAGCCGCTGCAGATTCCTCATCATCAGCTGCCGCAAAGGCCAGCGGTTCTTCGCTTCCAAACGGCACTGCGAAGACACCTGCAATGAGGGGGCAGTCCTGTTCCGCAAGGTACTCGCTAACCCAGTAGGCCAGTAGGCAAGCTTGATGGCTTCAGTTTCTTGGGTGTCTGTGGCTTCTTAGGAGGATTCTAGGTCTGGGAGCCGAGCATTGTGTGCAGTCAGGACTTGCAAGACATGTTGCGCTTCAGGGCTTTGGACTTTAGGGCTTCAGGGTCTAGGTGGTTTCAGTTAGCTAGTTTTGTTTGCCCCCCCCTCACCCCCACCCGCGGCCCCCCAACCCCGGTCTTTCGTTTGGAGGAGACGGTCGGTCAGTTCGACTTTGGACGAAGCATTCTCGAACCCGTTATTTCAGGGAGACAAAAGGGATTTGGGTTTGAAGGCTTGAAGGCTGTGCTGGGAACGAGTAGGCCAGGCCTTCTGCCAAAAGAAGTCTGCAGCGGAAACTGTCTCGAGCTTGGGGCGGTCGGATGCGCTGGGCCCCAGGCGCTTGTAACACATCCTTCTTCTCCCTCACTCCCTCGAACTGCGAACAACACAAGCCAGCTAAACTCTCAACCCTCAACCTCGCAAACCCCTGCTGTAGTGAAGCCTAAACCAGACCTGGCAGCTTATAAGTTAAACCCCCCCCCCCCCCCCCCCCCAAGGCCCCTAAACCCCTAAACCCTAAACCCTGAACTGCCCTAAACCCTAAACCCTAAACCCCAAACCCTAAACCCCAAACCCTCTTCGGGGGGCCATGCAAAGGCCTGGCCCGGGTCCAGCGGGCAGTGCGATCGGAATGACGCCGCCTGAGACGGATGCAGCGCCTTCTTTTTGGTAGGGGGGGATCTCTTCTTTGGGTTTAGGGTTTAGGGTTTAGGGTTAGGGTTTAGGGTTTAGGGTTTAGGGTTTAGGGTCCAGGGTTTAGGGTTTAGGGTTGCAGCGAATGTGGGTTCAGAGTTTCATAGGTTTGCGGAAGGGCTCCAAGATCCGCATCCAGCTTCCCAGACCTTCCCTCGTCTGAAACAGCAGGGGTGCCTATTCACAAGACTAAACCTCGAAAGCTGATTTATTTCCACAAGACCAGCCCCCCAAAAACCCTAAACCCTGAAAGCCCTAAAAACCCCACAGAGCCCTATGATTAGCCCTCATAAGCACCCTATATTACCCTATGAACCCTATAACCCCATGAATCCTATATGCCCTTTGCATCCTTTTGTAATCCCTACTTGAAGGTTCATGGTACTTACTAACCAATTATAACTGTACTTATAACCCTACTTATAATACCCCTAAAGGGCCTTATAGGGGTTATCCCAATGATAAGTAGGGTTATAAGCCCAGTTATAATTGGTTAGTAAGTACCATGAACCTTCAAGTATGAACGTGATAAACGCCGCATCGTGAACTTCCGGAGGCCTTTTGGGTCTGCGCCCCGCGAGGATTCCACAAGGCGCAGCTTTGGAGCAGCCGCGGCCACCTGGTTTGAGGGGCTTAGAAGGGGTTTAGGATTTTGAGTTTTTTTTACGGTTTGAGGTGTCGAACGTTGAGGGTGGGTCGATTTTTTGTGGTTGTGAGGACTCGTTGGCTTTTGCAGTAGGCTTGTTTTGAGGGTCCCTGGGTTTGGGGTCCTAGGGCTCTTGGGGTTTTTGGTGTAGGGTCAAGACAAGTTCTTGGGAATGTGTGATGTAGAACCGGCTGCTCTGCTTTGAAGTGGCCATGCCGCAAAATTGGCCAAGTGAGTTCTGACAATCTTCCCACTGGAACCGAACGACCAGCAGGAAACACATGGCCTTTGGGTCCGTGGCTGCAGGAAAATAAAGGCTGGCAAAGGTTTGTGTGCCGCCATCTCCACCTGAGCTGGAGCCAGTGTGGCGAAGCCCTTTCCATCTTACATTCGTGGCAGCTTTGGCAGCTTCAGTACATGTGGCAGAGTCACTTAGCGATCAAGGTCAAGAATTGCAGTTCACACCAAAAAGCGCTTAAACTTGGTCTGGTGGCGCAGGCCAGGCATCGTCAGGAGGAACTCCACGCCCGACGCCGTGGCAGTGGCCGACACCGAGACCTGTGGTGAGATAGGAATGAATTTCAAGATTCAACCAGAAATCCATGGAATGGATTCCCACCCCCGTCAAGTCCTGATACCCCAAGTGGAGGATGACGTGGCTTGGGCTTTCTTGTCGGGGCCACTACCCTCAAACCCCTAAACCTCAGCTCTTGGAGCAGCATCTATCGAACTCTCTGAGGGAGTTCCTCGTAGGAAATTAGGTACCTTATATGCCCCTATGCGACGCTTTCAGGGATTACACAGGGTGCCTAACTCGCAAATTCCGAAGAGCCAGATAGCCGATCGGATTCTTCTGGCTTCCTTCAGCAAGTCCGAGGACGCATCTAAAATATCTTATATAATCATATGGTAGCAGTCCTATGCACTATCCATATATGTGTATATATACTTGCTTATTTACGCATAGATACCAAATATCATAACTATCTAGAACATGTATAGTTGGTAGCGCGGGAGCCCTGGCTTGGCGTTTGTGAAAAAGACCGGCCCAACAAATCCGTAAGCTCGAAAAGGTGCAGACCTGGGAGAAGCTTTTTTGAAGGAATATACCTTGAACTATAAATGGATCCTTAATATGATTTAAGGAATATTCCCTAATTAAGGGGTATTGGGCTCTTTGGGTTCTTACCAGCCTGACCCCCGCAGTTTCTGCTGTAGAACGTGTCGGGACATCTCTTTGTAAACCTCAAGTTGTGAAAGCTGCACCTGCCGACCACTGACAAATGGACTGCTCTCTCACTCACGGTCCCTTTCTTGGTACCCCAGGTAAACCTTCAGTATCATAGAGCAAGAGCCCCCCCAACAGATCCTACTTCATGCCCCTGAAATCCTTCATGAACTCCCCTACACTCTGGACCCTAAACCCTTTCCCCCTACATCCCCCCCCTGGTCCCCCTCAAGCCCTGAATCCTACAGAGAGCCCCTCAATACAAGAGCCCTGCCCACATCAACTCTGGGCCCCTGGCGGGCCCGGGGCTACTCAGCCACCGGCTCCTCAAACCTTGCTGCCGCTTTCGAGGGGGCAAGAGAGGCTTGGTGTGGGGTGTTTCTGAGCCTGCTTTCTACCGGGATTCTAATCCCCTCCCCCCCCCCCCCCCACCAGAACAAAAAAAGATAAAGGTTAGCAAATTCTGCGCCTGAGAAACTCTCCGGCAGCGCCTCCAAGAACCAGACCTCGCGAGTGCGCTCTCCTGAGGCCGGGGAAGTTTGTGTTGAGGGTTATCGTGTGCTGTAGTGGAATAATTACGAGTAGTGTTCCCCTTATGGTCCCTTCAGTGTCCCTTCATAATAATACCATCATTTGCCTCGGCTTCCTGCCGAGAAGCGTTTGGAACAAGCAGACACGGATCCGGTCTCCTTCCCCCGAACCCAGCCCTTCCCCATGCCAAATTTTGTGGCACCCCCCCCCCCCCCCCCCCGCCTTGTGGGACCACCCCCGGACCCCCCCATCGCTTGGAAACCGATGCCGTGGGGGGCACCGGTTGGCGGAGCCCTGGGACTGGGACTCTTCCTGGGACCCCCTCCCCCTTTTCCGAGGCCTTCCCCAGAAACCCTCTTTCCTCCTTTCCTGTCCGTGGGCCGGCCCGGCTGCCGAGGCGGCGCGTGCAAGCGTTTACAGTTACCCTCGGAACCCCATTCTAACTACTAAGGCCCCTACATTAGGGCGGTGTGGGGTTTAGGGGGGTGTTTAACAGGCTTGGGCTTAAGGCTTTTATAGGTCCCAACTCCTCAGCCCTGAGCCCCAAGTGCAGAAGGGTAAGGGACACTGAGGCCGGGGGAATGCTCGACCTCTTTACAACCGCAGGTTGGGGTGGCCAGTGTTCTAAACATTCGGGTCGTTCGGGTACCCTGAATGGCATGTCTGGCATGCTACAACAGGGACCCCAAGAAAGACAAGCGTTGATCGCTTAGACCCCATTTCTGAGAGAAAAAGTTGCTGCAGTGCGTCGCACGAGGTCCAATTGAACTATTCGCCAACGCTTTGGCTGGAAGAAGAGCATCACCTGAGATGCAGCTTTGGCTTCGGAATTTCTGCTGACTCTAGCTCTTGGTGTGGGAGGTGTGTCTTGATCAGGAGAAGAGTGTCAGGGCTTCAGAGGCAGGTAAAGCGCTCCGCTCCTGACTTCCCCACCCCTCCTAGACGCGAGAACTCCAACGCCTAGATCTACACATGTCTTAGAACCCTAACAAAAAGGGCTTCTGGTTCATGTATCTTACGAATTAGTAATGTGTACAGGCAGTATGGAGTATACATGTTCTAGAAACGACGCAGCGGCCTGCAGACTGTGTGCTGCAAGCCTCCGTGTGCTGGCAGATTAGATTCGATCCGCAGCATGACCACCCCTGTGCAAATCAGCCAGAGTCTCCTACACCTATCTTGAGACATGTACCCTACCTCTGTTGAGATGGTGCTTATTTGTACAAGCTGCGTTCATAGGCGCGAAGATGGGGCTGGCCGTACCTGGTCCGGGTTCGGACGGTCGTGAAAGACGTGAACACCCACAAACACCACACGAGCTTCAGCTCAAAGCGCTGACCTCTAGACCCAAAGTCCGAATACCAAGCTCCAGGTTGTCCTTCGACCACGGCACCAAAGCCGACTCCCCCAAAACCGATTACACCTGGTCATCATGCACCAGACCTAGTGGTCTTGGATGTGCAACACACCCATATATATATATATATCTAGCTGCCCCTGACTTGCAGGTGTGAGTTGGGATGTGTAAGGCCGACGAACGAACTGCAACAAGGCTGCTTTGCCGCCAAGCGGGTTGCTTCGGTATGGCTTCAGCTTTCACCTCAGGCGAGCACAAAGACTGCTTCACCTTTGGCCTACAGAGGTGAAATAACATGGGGCTTGGGGGGGGGGGGTTATTTCGGGATGTCGCGCTTAGACTTCATGCATCTACAAGGTCCAGCAGGTTTAACAGCTGTAAACCTGAAACCCTACGTGAAGGGCTTAGACGCAGCTGTTCTGAGATCCAATGGGCTCTTTGGAGCACTGCTTCATTGGAATGGCTTGGGAAAGGGCCTGGGCCGGGACAGAGTCAAAGGGTTTTGGGCTTAAAGCGTAGGCAACAGAATGCTCCTCAACGCTCACGGGCGGAAATACGACTCTCTGCTTGGCAAGAGCCCAACATCCCCAGCCCCAAACCCTCAAACTCATGTAGGGTTTAGGGTTCAGGGTTCAGGGTTCGGGGTTTAGGGTTTGGAATCAAGATTCGGTAACCAAATTCCAAGCTCTCGAACCTGATGCGACGCTTTGGACGATTCTGAGCCGTTGCACCTCGTCAAGGAAAGGCCCGTCAACGACCGCCTTGTCGGCCTGATGAAAAGGTTCACCCTAAGCTTCCCAATGCCCTAATCGGCCCTAATCCAAGTTACCAGTAGCATCTGGGAAGCTTCAGCGTATCTGTCTGCATTTCCGTTGCTTGCTTACCTGAAGCCTTGGGGTGCCGCAGACTTCAGGATTTATGGGTTCGGGTCGCCAGAAACGTAGAATTACGCGGACTTCATTGGGAGTCCTATGCGTCTTGCAGGTGCCTGCTGTTCATCCCAGTTTGGCGCCACCATCACGAAGCCTGAGTTCGCAGGTGGTCAAGAACGGCTTGTGCACTAGCGACTCGTGTGCGGGTAAGAACGTTGACTGATCTATGCCAACTCCTCACAATGTTACACAGCGGCCAGGAAGGGCTGCGGGTAACTGCAGTCGAGAATTGTGCCCCCTGACGATGCCCGGTGGCACTCTTCGGATGTTGGTCGGATGCGCTTCGTGGCGGCCGCATCATGTTGCAGTGGCTGGGCGTGCAGGGCGTATGTACCTTCCGACAGAGTTCTATGGATGCAGGAACATCCCAGAACCTCTACATGCATCCTAAACGCAATACCCAGAAGCCTCAAAATGAAGTTATGCAGGTCAGCGAAGCCGATGGACCTGCAAGCCTTAAACCTTGCGCGCGCAGCGCTGACATCCAAGCCACGCATTGCAGGCTCCGATGGCCGCTCAATTAGCAGCTGGGGCGCCAGGGCATCCTCGCGATCAGTTTCCGAACTTTGGAGAATCATGGCCGGGATACGTTGGGAGCGTGTTTTGACGTTGTTTTGCGCAACCCGAGCCTTGCATTTTTGTATTCAAAAGCATGCTTGGCTTCAGATGACATAACCGTTACTGAGCTCCCTTCCGGTCCCTGGCGGCTTTCGGAGCTTTCCACAGACCAATACGAGAGACGCCCTTGCGGCACGGAACCCATCTTGTACACTCTTGTATTCTCGCCCACAAGTTTCCCACACGGGAGACCCCCGGGGTCAACGCTACGCACTCACTCACCCACTCACCCACCCACCCACTCACTCAGTGTCTCTCTCTCTCTCTTTCTTTCTTTCTTTGGGGTGTGGGGGGGGTGTCTCTCTCTCTCTCTCCCTCCCTCTCTCGTTCTAGTCCGCTATGACTGGCAGGCAGGACTTGGGTATCTGTGCATGCAAGAGCCATCAAGGCAGGCTTACAAGATCAGGGCGGAATTCCAAAAGGAGAGGTGGCAAACGTATAAACTCCCGCTCAACCCTCCCGGCTCCAGCGGAGAGTGCAGCAGCAGCGCGTCTGCCTGCGCAGGCTCCGCTCATGAAGCGAAGTCTAGAGAGGGCCAAGAGCAGCAAAGCAACTGTACTGTTACGAGGAGCTCTTTGTCACGAGAGCCAACTTCAGGCATACCACAGGTCTTCCTACTCGAGTGGTAAGAAAGTCCATAACACCGGAAGTTCGTGATTTCGGCTGAGGTCTCCAGATTAGCGAGTTGGGACCTTTGGAAAGATGTGGGCCGATACGGGGGTTCACGAAAATGAGGGGCCCCCTAACATAGACCCCCCCAACCCCCGAAACCCTAAACCCTAAACCCTTAACCTCTAAACGATACTGCTTCCAGGAGCTCAAGCTTCCGCAGCCCTGAAACCTGCCGCAAAGGCACCCCATGCACTCGGGCAAGCTGAGGACATCCGAGGGCCTGGCTCCAGTCTGCTTTAGGGTTTAGGGTTTAGGGTGCTTGAGTTAAACAAGCTTTCCGAAGTTTAGGGATATGGCTTCCGGTGTCATTCTGGAAGGATCTTCGTCTTGTAGTATGATGGGACATAGGAGGGTTGGCAGAGGAGAGAGTCCAACCCTCGTGGCGGGTCAGTTTCAGGGTTGGATTTCAAGGGCTTCCGGTTTCAAGTTTGGAAGGTTCCTATGAGTACATGTTTCTTGAGGGCATGGCTGCCGCTCTGGCGTGCCCTGAGCTCTATGAGCCCTAAACCTGAACCTCTTACCATCTCTGATATGCCTTTATAGAACTTCTTGTAAACCCCCCTAACGAGGCCGAACCGGCACCGGCCAAAACCCTAAAGACTCAACCCTGGACCCTCAACCCATTAACATCCTCTCCTAAACCCTTTAGGGCTTAAGGTTTCGGTGTTGAGGGTTTGGGGTATATATACCCTGAAGCAAGGCATGTCGATCCCAACAAGCAGCGCCGGGCGAGACCAGGGGACGGCCATTGACGACGATGCCTCGAGGGCCCTGGGCAACCTCCCAAATTCTTGGAAGTTGGGATGTTTCCCCTTCTACTAACAGTCCTTAATCGAGATTATAGTAGGGGGTACTATAATCCCTATGAAGGACTGTTAGTATAAGGGGAAACATCCCAACTTGGAAGGGTTTAGGAGACTTTAGTGCTTAGGGTGAATCCGGCTCAGGGTTTTTGAGCCTTGCATCCTCAGCTCCTCCCGTATGTAAACCAACATAGCCAGCGCCAGAACCGAAAAGCACAGAGCGCACTCCCCAAAGGCTCACCAACCAACAACAAGCAGCATCTTAATAAGGTGCGAGCTTTACTTTGAGGGAAGGGGTGTGGAGGCCTGTTCTTGCAGAAATACAGTTTCCAACAGCTCAGGGCAGCTAAGGAAAACTTACCGCGGCCACCGTGGACCTCGCTTTTTCTCATCATCAGGGCCACTCTCCGCAGAAGCGGCAGAGCGTCCGAGTGCCTCGCAGCCCGTTCGCAGGACAGAATCGCTGCTTGGCAGGTGACCGCAGTTGGCTCGAGGTGCCGAGATTCCACCTGAAGCTATCCATTGCTCTCTGTAGATTCTCTAGATTCTCTATGTTGCAGGATACGCACCGGTGTGCTACAAGTGGTGGAAGCAGGAGGGTAGCTTAGTTTGAAACTACAGTCAAAAACACAAAGCCTTGCGGCATTGCCCCAGCCTCCCGCCACAGCTGCAATGCCTCGGCCCAGCGTGCTGCTCGTGCGCAGGAGCTCAGGGCAGCGTTGTAAGTAACCAGGTTCACTGCGTTGCTCTGCCTGGCAGCTTCCTGCAAGAGATCGAGGGCCTCCTGCCAGGCGGAGCCTGCCTCACAAGCGCTGATGGCCGCAACGTAGCTGATGAGGGTGGGTTGCAGCACCTGCCGCACCAAAGACTTCAGAAGACAGATGGCCTCCTGCCACCTGCCGCACTGTTCGCATGCACTGATGGCCGCATTGTGTGAGACCACGTCCGGGCTTAGAGCCCACGAGCTCGCCATCTCCAAGGCCACAAGGGCCCGCTTCCAGTCTGCTGCATTCTCACAAGCGGTTATGAGAGAGCTGCAGGTGAAGGCACTCGGCTGCAGTGTGCTCACCCAGATCGCATGTACCAACTCGAATGCCTGCTGCCACTGAGCAGCTCGCGCACATGCGCTCATGGCGGTGTTGAAGATGACCACATCCATGTGAAAGTCGCAGCTCTCAGCTTCATGGAGCAACAGCAAGCCCTGCTGCCATGCGGAGGCCCTCTCGCACGATGTCACTGCAGAGCTGTAGGTAACTACATTCGCTTGCAGCTTCTGTGAGTCTAGGGTCTTGATTAGCTGCAGCGACTGCTGCCACCTCCCCTCACGGGCCAGAGCGCTTATGATAGTGTTGTAGGTAATCAAGTCAGCATCGAGCGGTTCGCCTTCCATCTGACACAGCAATGCCAGGGATGGTTCCCACCGGGCTGTTTTCTCAAAGGCGCTAAGCACGGCATTGAAGGTGATGGCGGTGGGTTGCAGTTGTCGGTCTCGGACTGTCGAGAACAGTGTCAGAGCGAGCTGCCAGCAGTCGCACTTCTCACAGGCACTGATCGTGGCATTGTAAGAGATCACGTCAGGTTGAAGCAAGCGCTCTCCAAAGCTGCCGAGTAGCTTCACGGCTTGGTGCCAATGAGCGGCTTTCTCACAGGCGCTGATCGCTGAATTAAGGATGACCACATCTGCTTGCATGTCCCTGCTCTCCAGCTGCTCTAATAGCGACAGAGCCTTCTCCCACTTCGTAGCCCTCTCGCATGCACTGACAGCTGCACTGAAGGTGATGACGTCTACACCCAGTCTGCTTTCGTCTGCCAACCCCAAGAGTGCCAATGCCTGAGGCCACTGAGATGCCCTTCCACATGACGTCATAGCCGCATTGTACGACACTATGGTGGGCTGCAGGCCCACCTCTTGAAACCCATGAAGAAGTGTCAGGGCCTGCTGCCAGAGAGATTGCTTCCTGCATGCCGAGATGGCCTTGTTTCCTTCCAGAACTGCTCTGGAACTTGACAAGCTCGACCGCTGAGAATGTGGATGCTGACGACACTCCATGAACCAGGCGGGCCAAGGTGGTCCAAAATTGGAACTAGGCTCCCACAGCACTGCACATGTTTACATTTGACCGTAACCCATACCATCTTTGTAGGCTCGTAGCATGCAGGTTTCGCAACTCAAACGTGCCGGGTCTGCCTCCGCAGCTCTAGCCAAAGCTGCGCCCTCCACATGCAGACTACCCAGAATTCTGGAGCCCTTCCAAAGTTTGTCGACATTGCCCTTATGGAGTGCCGTAGACTGTAGGGGCGCTTCTTCTCTGACTCCAACAAGCCAACTACGAGAACTATATCAGTATACCAGTACCCTAGACAAACTCATTTCCGTCGTTTCCCAGGAGAGAACCGTGATGAACAGTGACCTGTGAGCCCTGTGCATCCCTATACTCCCACAACTCAAGAGCTCAAGAACCTGCCTCGGCAGTTTTGATAGGCGCTCTATGCCCCTCTTCAATCGTTGCCAATGTGAATGCTGCGAAGAGAGATACTGACTGCCAGTCTAAAGTCTGAACCCTGCAAGTGCTAGACTCTAAGCCCCCAAACCCAACGAAAAAACCCAAACAACCCTCAACAAAAGCAAGGCCCTAAGCGGCCTTAACCTAAAGCAGCAACCTCAACTCCGACCTTCACACTACGAGCTGCGCACCTTGCTCAGCGTCGCCTCGCGTGCCGCCAGGGCCAAGGACCAGTCCGCGCTAGGGCCCACCTGCCAGGGTTCACCTTTCTTTGGGGCCTTGGGCTTCGGGGTATTATAGGGCCCATGTACTTACAGTTTACAGGGTTTCTTTCAGGTTTGCGGGTTCAGATGCGGCTTAGTGGCAAGGAGCTCAGGAGATGCCCATTGCACAATAATGCCTCTGGCAGTACTTGGGTCCGCTGCCCTCAACCCCATGCATGCTCGATGCTTCAGCTTGGTCGACGCTTCCAGTAGGGCGGAGAGCTGGTCGTATCCTTCATCAATATCATTTCGGACCCCAATAGGGTTTACTGTTTATATGGTTTAGGGTTGAAGCTATGCACTGGGAAAGCCCTCAGGTCTTGGGCCCAGGGTTTGTGCGGAGGGACAGAAGGGCTCTTCAACCTGATTTTCACCTGAAAACCGGTGAATGCTAAACCCCCCGAAGCCCTAAACCCTAAACCCCAAACCTGAACTCTTAATCACATCCGAGCGGTCGGAGAGCTTCGTGAGCACAGGGGTTGGTGTTTAGCAAGCTTAGGGGTTCTGCAGGCTCAGAGTGTCCAGCTACCAGTAGGGGCTTCGGGGTTGAATCATTGCTGGCTTTGCACGCCTGCCTTCCTGACATTCGAGGTTTGATTCAAGGGGCCGCTAACAGCTGTACCTACAACCCCTTAAACCCTAAACCCCCTATCCCCTAAAACCCAAACCCAAAAACCTAAACCCTAAACCCTAAACACCCTTAAGCCCTCAGTCGTCAACTCCCTGCGCCCTCGACGCCTGCAGAAGTGAGCAGCGGCCGGCGTCGGCACCCAGGGCTTGTGGGTCCTGGACTTTGCAGACCCAGTTGGGAGGTTCTGGCTCGTTCTTTTCCTTTTGTTCTTTGGGAGGGGGGGGGGGGGGGGGGGGGGGGGGTTAGGACGCTTCGGGCTTTCGGGCTTTGAGGGTTTACGGGCAGGGTTTAAGTAGAGACTCGTTGTTCGCAGTGAGTCTGCAGGTGCACGCGGCTGGGTGCCCGGGTGGGCGGGGTCCTTTGTAGGCGCTTGGACGTGCTTAGGAGGAGACCTCCTGAACCTCAAGCCTCAAAAGCCCTTAACTTTGTGTGTCTGCAACCCTAAACCCTAAACCCTAAACCCTAAACCCTAAAGCATCCCATGACTGCCTTCAATAACACCGATAACTCCGCAGACCCTCAAACCCCCATTCAATAATCTTCAAGGGTGGCCTGCCTCGACGGACCAAATGCACAAAGGGCCTGGGTAGACAATGCTTGGTTTAGGGTTTAGGGTTTAGGGTTTAGGGTTTAGGGTGTTTAGCACAAAGTTGCGATAGGCAGGAGAGTGCCAAGCTAGCTGATGCGAACACATCACTCTCACATGCGTTCCAGAAGCTTCCACACTGGTGTTGCTTGGCTATAGATCTGAATAAAACTCATGTCAACAGAATTCTGAGCAACTCTAAACGTAAATAAACGTAAGAATACATACATACATACATACATACATACATACATACATACATGTATATGTATATGTATATGTATATGTATATGTATATGTATATGTATATGTATATGTGTATGTGTATGTATATGTATATCTATATCTATATGTATATGTATATGTATATGTATATGTATATGTATATGTATATGTATATGTATATGTATATGTATATGTATATGTATGTATGTCTACATATGCACTATTCTATACACGTACTTGATATACACATTCTTTCCATAAGAGCGAGCACGAGGAGCAGTGGCGGTATCGAGGAACATGCTATCCCGGTTTCGCTATTTGCAAGCGAACTTGCACCAAACCATGTGCTAAGCATGCTGAGGTTGAATATAGTCCATTGTTGCTGCTAGTATTTAGAGAATGCGTAGCTAGTCATCTACGGTGCTTCGTCCTCAACTGATGTTGGCGGCGTGTCCATGATATCCCACGCCCTAGCCCTGAAACCTGCTGATTGTTTGCTTAAGACCCCCCCCCCAACCAAAAAAAATGAAAATGTTCTTCTTTACAAGGGTAACAATATTATCTTGTGTTTTTCGGTTCTTAAGCAAATAGTAGCTGCTCATCGCATCACCGTCAGACTGCTTAAGAACACCAAGCCCTCTGCCCGTGGAGAGCAAGTGCAATGTGGAGCCATCCACGACAGCGTCGACTACGCCGCCAGAATGGCCTTGCTGGTGCAAGATCCCGAAACCAACAGCACCAAACCCTGGGGGAAAACACACTTTCACACACAGCCGCAAAGAAGAAAAAGAACAAGAAGCCAGCCGCTAATCAACAGTTTCCCCAAGGGAGCTTCACTCGGACCTGGGGTGCCGAGACGTCCTGAGCCTACTTGGGCGGGGGTGGGGTTTAGGGTTGAGCTTCACTCGGACCTGGGGTGGGGTTTAGGGTTGGGGGGTTTAGGATTTAAGGTGTGGGGAGTTGCCTTTTGGACGGGACAAAGTCCACCCTTCCACAGCTGAGTGGCGACCCAACGGGAGGCGTGCCCGACACAGCCCCTCGTCGAACGAAGCACCAGTGCCTTAGGAGGCACGTTGACCATGATGTGTGGGTTTAGGGTTTAGGGTTTTGGGGTTTCGGGGTTTAGGGTTCGGGGTTAGGGGCACGTTGGAGTCCTTGAGGTCGAGGCCGGGGAAGCTTCAGTATTGACGACTTGACGCTTCAATGTTTTCGATGGTGAGAGAAGCCCAAAAGCCCCCATGGCCTGGCTGCAGACAAACTGTCAAGGCTCAACTAAACCGGACCCTAACATGACTATCAAGGCTTTACTAGTCTAGACATGTCTAGACCCTTTCCTACCCGAGCCCCTCACTCCTTAAAAACCAAAAAAAGCTGTATGCCAACTTGCACCCCCCCCCCCCCCCCCCAAACCTTGTCTCAAGCTGTGCCCCGCGAAGACCTACACTCTTGTTGAGCCCTGACCCGGTGATTTCCGAAATGAGGGGTACCTTGTTGGGGTCCCTACTGTGAGGGAATCCTACTATTTGGGGGGGTCTACTTTAAAGGGTTCCCGATTTTTCGCAACCCCCCTAACCTCGGCCATAGGGACGGTCGAAGGCCAGCTCGGCCAGTGGAACCACCTTGGCCGGATCCAGGATGGCGGGGCGCAGCCTCGGCGCAGGCAAGGAAGAGGAGAGGACTCTAGAGCGGACCTTAAGGTCGGGAATTTCTCAAGGTTTTCTGGATGAGGGTTTAGGGTTCAAGGAGTGCAGGAATCTTGAACTCAGACTTACTCGATCAGTCTCTTGCCTGGACACCATTCGGCGATGTTCTCGTTTGGAGGTGTGCGCAGAGTTCCCGCTGCAGGAGCCGCAGCTGATATCGACTCAAGCCATGACACAGCATCAACATGCCCCTTATGGCTAGACCCAGGAGTAACCTAGGACCTAGGAATGAAAAGGGGACCTCTTTGGCTTAAAGGGGCTTGCAAGGGAACCCGAACCCTAAAGAAAGGGAATAAGGGCCTACTCTGGGTCTCCTAGATGGGGCCTTAAAGCAAGCTCCAGTGGTCCGGATCCTTGCTGGGTGTTGGGGCTCGGGCTTCACTTCGTTGTAGTCCGTTGGTGTCGGAGGAGGTAGATCCTTGCCAGAGGCCAAAGGAGCTTTCAATGCAGACTCCCAGTGCGGCAGAGTGGCCCCCAAATTGAACATCGGCGCCACCATGCAACGCGAACCCTTCAAAACTGCTGTGTGAATCTTGGTGTCCCCCCGCGCAAGCCTTCAGTTCCTGACATCCTGAGGAGCTTAAAAGCTTCAAGGGCTCTTCGGTTTCGGGCGCCTCGAAAACCCTCGAAATAATGGGTAAGGTCTACCATGATTCCCCATCAATCCGAAAGCAGCCCCGAAGTCCTTGACCTCCAACAGCTCCTTGACCTGCCAAGTGCCGGCGGGCTCCTTTCAAGCTTTGGAGTCGAGAGGGGGGAGTGGCCCTAAACCCTAAAACCTAAACCCTAAACCTTAAACCCTAAACCCTAAACCCAAACCCTAAACCTTAAACCCCAAACCCAAACCCTAAACCCTAAACCCTAAACCCTAAACCCTAAACCCTAAACCCTAAACCCTAAACCCTAAACCCTAAACCCTAAACCCTAAACCCTAAACCCTAAACCCTGCTTTTTGCAGGGTTTGAGGGCTTGGGAGTCTAAGCCTTTTGGGCTGCTGGGCTTCAGAGTATTACTTCTTTTTTTGTCTTGTTGTGTTTTTGGTTTTGGGGGTGGCTCAGAGTGGGGCGCATCACAAGTACACATTGGGCTCACCATGAGCGACAGAGTTATGGAAGGCGCCTTCTGAGTTATCAGGTCCCACTTAGGGGAGGGAAGTGGTTCATTGGGTTGACATAAAGCACTCCAGAAACCTCTACAGAAACCGCACACGGAACCACGACGACACCGAGATACACCCAGCAATCGTGCGATGTGTCCACTCTTCCGCCCCTCCCGCCCAACGGGTCCTTCAACAACCGCTGCGAGCGTGCCAGTCGTGCGGAACGCAGCACCTGCTTGGTGATGAGAGTGGCCAGCCCCCACACCTGAAACAAGCCTTCTGTTTATCTTAAAAACATGGTAAACCTTAAAGACTGTTATAGTAGTTACATTAAAAAAAGCCTACAGTAAAGCTTAAACCCATAAGGAGTCGCAATCTGTGCACCTCCAGGGCGCGCAGCCATGGCTGTGCAGGCGTCGGGGCAGGACCTCAATGTCAATTGTTCTTACTGTTAGCTTGCAGCTTCATGGCTTTAGGGGTATTATGAGTAGGGTTATAAGTACAGTTCTAATTGGTTAGTAAGTACCATGAACCTTCAAGCATGGTGTGCAGGCGCAGAGGCAGAAAAAGCCGTTCCAATGGCAGTCTTTGCTGTGGCAAAACTCAGATGCCTTCTTGTTTGCGCACGGCCGTCGAATTGATGCAACTCCTGGTGCAAGTTGACAAGGTCTTCCCTTTCGACAAGTAGCCACCATCGCCGCTTGCTGGTCCTGGTCACCATGCTGTGCTCCGTAAGTGGAACCCTGAACCTTGAAGCTGCTGCAACTGAAGATGACGAGGAACCGAACTGTCTTAAAACTCTCACGACTCGAACATGTCAACTGCCCTCGACGTAAGGCAGAAGGAAGTCTCTCACGAACACCTTAGGACCCCTAGAAAAATGCAGTAGCAAAAGGGGGCGGGGTAGGGAGACTCCGTATCTTGTGAGCCCAGTCACCATGATGCAAGAAGGGTGCCCTTTTTGGGGCATCTGTTTTTTGGGAACCCTGAACCCAAAACATGCCAAAAAGGATCACTCAGCCACCACATGACTGGGGGAAGATGGAAGGGAAAGTGCCAGAGGGAATAAAGCAAACTGCCCCAAAACCCTGAAACCCTGAAAACTACCGCAAAACCCTCAGCCCTGAACTCTAAACCCTAAACCCCAAAAAATCCTGAGCCCTATACCCCCTATACCCCCTGTTGGATTTCCTCGAGTTTGGTTTTGGGGCTCCGGGGGGCCTAGGACTGCCAGGCTCGAGACCCCCCGGCGCTCGAGGATCGGCCGCAGAGCCTGCGGCTTACTGGGGAGTGAGTATGGGGTACTTCTTCAGGGGTGTTCTTTCTATATCCAGTATGTATGTACACATGCAACTACTTTGTAGAGAGAGAGAGAGAGAGAGACGGAGGAGGAGGATAAGGAGAAGTTGGAGAACTCCACTCCCCCCCCCCCATGCCTCTTAAGTGCCGGCAAGGTTGAGGTTTGAGCTTTGAGTGCAGCTTCTAGGTTCAGAGGGCTTCAAGGGTGGATGGAGGGTTGAATCTGCTTGAGTTGAGTATAATGCGAGTGCGGGTTAGGGGTGTAGGTTTGAGACTTCTCGTTCAAAACCCTAAAACCCTAAGCCCCAACCCGAACCGTGGCGGGCTTGGTGATGTTTCGCGTCTGTTGGGGCAGCTTCAGCTTATCTGACACGGAAACAAAGTCAAACAATCCCCAAATCCAGGCACCAATCCCCCACTGCTCCCATCCCCCCCGCCCCCTCCCCCCCGCCAATTCCCCACCCTCCACCCACTCTCCACCCTCTACCCACCCTCCACCCTCTACCCACCCTCCACCCATCCTCACCCTCTGCCCACCCATCCAGCCCCCACCCATCTACCCACCCTCCATCTCCGTCACCCCCACTCCACCCCAAAACACTCTCCCGTGCTTCTGCCTCCCGCCGAACTAACTAGTCAGTCTTTGGTGTTTCAGCTTTGACAATACTAGAGAGAACCCTTAACCCTTGAGAGAATCTACTGTAAGTAGGGTTCAGAGGGGCTTCAGGTCGGCTTGCAAGGATTTTGAGAGCTTGTGAATCTTGTAGGGCTTAGTAGGTGGCATCCCGAGACCCACATAGGCAACTGGACTGTTGAGGGCTCAAGTATTAAGGGCTTCTGAACCCGCAAGCCTTAAACCCCTGAACCCTGAAAACCTATTCCGGTTCCTCCCGAAGGGAGGCATCGAAGCGGTCGAAGGCCAGGACAGAGCTCAAGGCCTCATGCAGCAAGTCCAGACAGGCCAGCTTCATTTGCAAGGTTTTGGGGGGTACGCTCAGGGCTCAGGACTTGTTTCGCAGCATCTGACGGTCTAGGGGCATAGGGTGCGGGGTGCTAGCTTCATGTCGGGCTGAGCACTGAAGCGTCTCAGGCCATTGCATCGTCGACCGCCTATACACAATTTTTAGGCTACTCCCGGGGGAGGGGGGGGAGCGCGAAGATCAGGTTTGCAAGGTTGGGTGTGACACGGGTATGCAGGGTTGGCGGCCTAGCTTTCAAGAGGAGCTGGGAGGTTTTCGCCGAATTTGTGGAAACCGTTTCCGGTAGAAGTCGGGCATGCTGGAAGGGCTGCGCACTACGGATGCGCAAATGCTCAGCGCTTTCTAAAGCAGGATGCCCCTCTCCGCACCAATGCTAGGCACCGCTTCAGCTGACATATGTTGCTACCGATACCTGCGCCCGGGCCTCTTCCAGTGGCTCGTTGTGGAAGCGCTCCTGCAATACAAAACAACGCGCATGTTCCATATTATGAACTCACACAGAAACATATGATTAGCCCAAGATCGCCAAGATCCCAAAGCCAACTCCCTGGCAAGATCCGAGGAGCCAGATGTCGGATGACCGCCAATAGCTCCCGCGCGCTGTAGGGATACCTGGGCCGTGGGTTTGTTGTTTAAGGGGCTTCAGGGTTTAATGCTATAATAAGGTAATGGTTGTAGTTTGTAGTGAGAGTAACATTTTTGATTTCGAGGTCCCAAGGTTGAGAGGAGGTTTGCGCGGCGCTCGACCGCTCGACCCTAGACGAAGCGCTTCATCTATGGGACCCTCAGCCAATGAGGTGCTTACTTTAGCTTCGGCCCCCTAACCCCCCCCCCCCCCCCCCAATGCTGTGTGGCTGTGAGATACCAAATTAGATCTGTGACTGTAGCGTTGAGATGGAATCTCCCGAAATGCCAAAGCCTGAAAATGTTAACCTTCTGCAACGATATTGTTCGGCGCCCTGCCGGACAGATTGAATCAATCAAGAGGGAGGGGCGGGAGAGGGTTGCTAATTGCACGTGAACAGTAGGCCTGCCGGAACCCTAAGCTCTTAAACTGCAAGGTCCGAAGTAGCTAATGCTTTGCGAAGTGGCTGTAACCGGCCATCCTTCAGGCAGCTTTGCTTCTGCACTCGAAAGCCGCGGAGGTAGAGCTCATGCAAGCAATTTCAGACCCTACAAGTCCTCCTACTCCCACGACTGTCACGACTAGGATAACTACGACCACGGCTGCGGCGACTGCCGTGGGTTTCTTCAGCCTCCAAGGCCAAGCGGAGGTCTGCAAAGAGGGCGACCAGCGTGCGGAGCAGGCCGTCGGGCACGTTGGGGCCTCTACGGGAGGCCCAACTGGGTCTGGGATTCCCCAGGGCTTCGGCTAACTTGAACCACAGGCCCGAAATTCGAGTCGGGCCCGTGGCCCGGGACACACAAGTCAACATCGTTGCGAAGCAAACGGGATACATTGGAGTGTCTGGGGCCTGGGATGCATATAGAACAACATATCGTATCGCCTTTTGCTGTCGTTAGCACACAAAGCTGGATCAAGCATAACTTCGCATTTGGAAGTACGATGGTCCCCCAAGCCATAAAAACTGCAAAGCATTTACCAGCACTATGCGCATCAGTATATTCTAAATCCGGAGCGTGGGACATCTTAAGAGCCGCTAAACAGCAAAGAAAGTCATCACGAAGCCTGTTTCTCCAGACTCAGTTGCCCTACAGAACCTGGCATGGGTTTAGGGTGAGTGCTTTAGCGTTAAGTGGATTTAGGGTTTCTTGAAGATGCCAGGCCTACTGCCCTCGCCAACTGCAGCTCCGATGTGGCATCCTTTCGCAGGGCCAGAGTCGAGGGGGCTTTCGGAACATTATGATTCTTCTTTGCATTGCTATATTTGTTTGCTGTATTTACCTGTTTTTTTGGGTGGGGGGGGATGGGGGGGGCTGGGGGGGGTGCTAGATTGCCTTCGTCTTTACGCTTAGTCCGGCGTCGCCACTGAGGTTCGTAGAGAGCCGCCGGTCCAGAAACACGGAACATAAGGCAGCCCAACCATAATATGACAAGGGTACCCTAATAATGTTCCTCCCAATTATACTCGCTATAAAGGACTGTTAGCATCAGGGGAACATCCCCTAAACCCCCTCTTCTCCCTTTTTTGGGCTTGGAGTTTTGCTAGGGAATTGAGAGCCCCAACCAAGGAACTGGACAACATTCCTCGTCGCTTGCCATGGGTAGGGTCAAGAGTTTAGGGTGTGTAGGGTGTAGGGTTTAGGGTTTAGGGCTTCATCCCGAACATCCCAACTCTCTGTCACGCCCCAACCCAAGCTTCGTGACAGCAGTCAAAAACTCTGTACAGCCACGTGGCTGGATTGTCCAGGCAGAAGACCGAGAACACGTCTGCCTCGTCACACAAGCAAAAACAAACCGTAGGTCCTATAGAGCCTAGGGCTCCACAGCTTAGAATGTCGCTGCCGCAGGCAGTACACAAAACTCGAGGACAGAGTTAAGGAGAGCCCGAGGCTTCACAACAAAGCACAGAAACCCTCGAGCCCCTGGAATAACTTGGCGACCAGTTCCCAACTGATTTGCGCAATTCAAGCTGCCTAGATACCTCTCAACCCCTGAACCCCCAAACCTTCCCCTTCAAAATCCAGGCCCGCACGCCTCGCGCAGCAGGTCGTTGCCCAGGAAGGGAAAGCCCGGGCGGTTGGCGAGGACAAACCTGGGACTGAAGAGGGCTTTTAGGGTTTATAGGGCTTATAGGGTTTATAGGGTTTAGAGGGGTTTAGAGGGTTTATAGGGTTTATAGGGTTTAGAGGGGTTTATAGGGTTTATAGGGTTTATGGGGTTTAGAGGGTTTATAGGGTTTATAGGGTTTATAGGGTTAGGGTTTAGAGGGGTATATAGGAGTATTGGAGCTTTGTGGGGTTGAGGGCTTAGTGGCGTGCAACAATGATGAAGCGTTAGCATACTATGGAGAGGTTTTCAGGCCTAGACTGTGCTTTATGAGAAAAAACCCGCATGATCTACCCCAAAGAGCCCCAATACCCCTTAAATCCCCTTAAATAAGGAACACGCCTGAAATCATATTAAGGATCCCTGTATGATTTAGGCTATTTTCCTTAGCTAAGGGGTATCCTTAAGGCCTTCGGCATATGCGGCTTCAGCTGTGCAAGCCTGCATGTGCCATCAACCTTTGACACGGCAACAAGTGGAAGATATATTGCTTGAAACGATTGCACGAACTACTCCTTGCCAGGCAGCATTCGGAACTCCGGATGAACCTGCAAGTGTTGAGGGATGTTGAGGCTTTGGTCCATTTGTGGGCCTGGATTCAGGGCAGTTAGGATGTGGAAAAAGGCCTCTCAGCGCGTGCAGCAGCGCACCCTCGAGCCAAGCGACCCTAACTTCCCCAACGCAGGAGGCTTACCAGCCCCAACAGCGCAAAAAAAATCAAAAGACACATGCGGTCCTGCAGCGTCGTGGAGCCGCCCTCGCCAGCTGTGGCCTCTGTGGCAGTAGCGAGCCTCGTGGAGCGTTGCTTCGGGTGAATAAGAGGCTTAGCGGATGATGTGAGCCACAGGAGCCTTAGCCAAGACTCCATCCAAACTCCGTCAACAACCCCAACACGACAGGCTTGCACGAAGCTTACAGTAAGCCCTCGTGAGGAAAACACGAGGTCTCTGGCCCGCCTTCGTCCGTCCGGGAGTGCAAGCTGGCCATCCTCAATCAGGGACTTGAGGATCACCACGACCTGCCAACTTTGGGGGGGGGGGAGGTAGCTCTACCTCGCCCCGGCGTCCTAGACGGTCCGAACAAGCCGTGCGGTCATGGCAGAATGCAGAGTTTCATGCAGAGTTTCAGGAGGGGTTACAAAACCCCCCTGCCCGAAACAACTTGGGGAAAGTGTAAAGTGAGCTGGGCTTAAGTTTGGAAGAAGGGCTAAGGGTCATGCCTGCACACATCCCATCAGCAGCCACGACGCATGCCGCCTTCGGCAGACGCCGCCGGACGCACAACCGCAAGGCCACCCCCTTCCCACGCCCCGGCACCCCCCAACCCCAATCACCTCCCATAACCGACCCCAGCCCCTTCGACCTGAAAACCGAACCCCCCCAAAAAAACCCAAAAAACCTCCCCTAAACCCTAAACCCTAAACCCTAACCCCTAAACCCCCCAAACCCATCAACCCTAAATCCAGGGTTCGGCCTCCAGAGGCGCCTTGTCGGCCTGTTTTTTTTTTTTCTTTTCACTTTTTAGGGTTTCGGGTCTGAGCAGTTTGAGGTTGCTCAGGGACTCTCATCTGTGTGGCGTTTGGGGCTTGAGGTCTATGTTCTCCTTCAGCCGATACTCTGCAACCCTTGGTAAAAACAACTGCGTCTGTGCTGCCTCGTGCCACTCATGTCCTAAGAAGTTTCTGCGCCTTTTTGAAGATGCGCTTGCAATGCAAACGCCCACAGGACGACGACAAGTAGACGTGACAGCACATTAAGGTTGAAATCAGAAGATTGGATCCAAATACTTATTGTATGACTCATGACAATACCTCTGTGCTATCCACCGATCAGAACTCACACAGTTACAAGAAAGCCACGCACACCCGAAATCCTCACCTAAAGTTCCCTGAGCCCATTCATCGTCTCCTAGGCCTGCGTGCTGGACGCGGGGACCCGAAATCTCTGAAGGCCCCTTGGCGCTCCCTTCGACAGGCCTCATCCAGCACCAGGGCACGGCCAAATTGCGCCGCCCTGACGAGTGGGGAGTCCTCTGACAAACAAGGTGTCTGCAAAAAGTTTTTATTGAGAGGGCCGTGATTTTCTGGGAAGCGTATTCAAACAGAGAAGTCGCATTGGCATCCTTTTAATTGCTGCCTGTGACGAGCCTGCATCTGGCATCCACTCACAAATCTTGCCATCCCCGTCTCAGGCGGATCTGAAAAAGTTCTCCGACCATGAACGCTGCACCCCAAACCCCGTACTCTCTACAAGACAAAGATGTATGGAACTGCGATCCCTCCTCGTGGTAGAGGCGGCCGTCCGAAACGACCGGTGTAACCTAGGCACAATTGAAAATGTCGGGTGTTTAGGGCACTCGGAGTTTGCTGTTCAGGGATGTTCATTCAGGTTCAGGACCAGGGCGTCTCAATGGTGCTTGGCGGCGGTGAGCTGCGACACTGTTGTGTCCCGGTGAAGCTGCATGTACTCGCGCTCCATGGCCACAGTCTGCAGGAAGTAGTCCACCACTCGATTTTTCCTCGAAAGCTTTGGCTTGAGGCGTAACTTTTTTGCGGTTCGGCCATTTGGGCTGACAGGTGACATCTGCTTTCACTCACGCTTCCAGCGGCAGCTCTCTTGCGCGGCAAGTATCCCAACACCCTGCGGTCCCAGGAGGAGGAGGAAGCGCTCCTTAGTGTCATGCGGGGGACTAGGCAACTAGGAAGCCTTTGCAGCCCCCACGACCTCTAAGTGACCCAGCGCCGAAGTCCGCTGTCCTCAAACAGAACAGAGGCCAAAGGAGCACCTAGTGCGTCCATCTGGCTTACGCAGCTGAGCTGAGCTGCGTGTCACCAGCAATCAAGGACCCGGCAGAATCGCTTGAAGGGCTTATGAGATTCACGCCCCCCCCCCCCCCCCCCCCCCCCCCCTCTACTTTGAATTGAAACATCTCTTGGCAATAAACGGTGACCTACACCACAATCGTGTCCCTTGTTCCCAGGATTGCGCCCCCGAAAGTCCCACCACTCCCACGCATGCATTCCTGTCAAAATCAAAGCTGCGTGCAGAACATCCATGACTTGCTTGGGATCAAGTGGCTTTCCTCTGGAAGATCGCCTTCGGGGCAGAAAACATCACGCCCAATCATGTTTCTTCTCGTGGCTGTGAGGCTGAATCCCGTAAATAAGCATTTGGAGAAGGCCTCAAGATTTCCTATAGGCCCCCAAAACCCCCCAAGCCATCAGCGCTTCTTAAACAGCAGTCCGTCTCATTTCACACTCAAGGCCATGGTGTCCCGCCTTCCCCAGCTCCTCAAGTAAGTCTACATGTCGATCGATACCGACGAAGTCGACGCTGGGAACCTGGCAGTTGCTCAGGTCATGGGACTCTTGCAACCAGTGCGCCTTGGGTAGCTGGAGCTAGTAGGCCTGAATGCATTGGCAGCACCTGCGCCCTGATTTACAGGCTCTGACATGTAGGTGCTGTCCCCTGCTGAGAGTTCGGCGAGCTCTGGATGCTTCGGTTTCCCCACGGGTACCACGCACTCTCCAAACTGGACCATGTCCTCACAGAAAGCAAAGCAAAGCAAAGCAAACACACAAAGACAAACACTCGGAGAAGAACACCGTCTCGGCAACCTAGGAAGCACAATTCGAACACAACTTGTTCCCCGAGACTGACGTCCTTTCCAGGATGGGTCACGCCGCTGTTTCCTGAGAGAGCGAGAGGGAGAGACCGAGAGACAGAGAGAGAGAGAGATTAAACAAAAACTAATACACAAGAGAAAGAGGGAGAGATGGTGCAAAAGCCAAGTGCAGGTGCTTCTTGGCTGGAGTGGACACAGCTTACCCGCGCCCATTCAACGTGGATGTGTGACGGACGTTGCCAGCCAATTGTACCAACTGCGTCTGAGGAGCTTTCCGAGGTACCCTGCCTGTGAAGCTCACGTTTTCGGCTCAAGGTTATCATATCTCCAAAGATGCAGAGGATGACAATTCCATCATCTGCAAAGTTACAGTTAACAAGCAGACTCGTAGAAGTTCGTCGCCAGTCGGGACGTCCTAGCATCAGTCTCAGGAAGCCCTTTTGTGGTTCTGCTCAACTTGCTTGAGGTCCTGCAGCACCCCGACAGAAGATAGAGACAACCAAGCATACACTCAAAGGCACGCGACCTCGGTGCCCGGCGCAGCACCTTTGCCGCCGCCTGCGGCTCGTGTGCCCTAAAATGTTGTCCAAACCTAAAAACTCTCTCTCCTACAAGTCGTGGAACCAAATCACTCCTAGAATGCTTCACCACGTGTCCAGGCTAGCATTGGTCATGGTATTGTAGGGTTGAGGTTTAAAGGGCCAATCCACAAACACAGAGCCAGAGCTAAGTGTACCGAACCCCCCCCCCCCCCCAAAGCAGTCCGCCTCTTTTCAAGCCCTAATCACTTCTTAAAGCCTAACCCTAAAAAGTCTTACAACCGGAAAACGGCACAAAACCCTGAAGGGCCCCCAAAACCCTAAACCCCCTACTGGGCACCAGTAAAAAACCAGCAAAAAGCGGGCGCCTTTTCCGCCGCAGCTGCGCCGAAATGCTCGGCGAGCTGGGCCAGCAGCTTCGCCCGTTCCCCTGTTTGAAGGCATACTGGGAAGATTTGGGGGGCTTCCGAAATTTTAGGGGTGTCTTATTGGGGTCCTTATCATAAGGGAATCCTGTTATGTGTGTTAAAGGCATACTGTGAAGATTTGGGGGGGCGCCTTGGCCTCAGGGAAGTGTATAAAGCTGAATCTCTCCTGGCTTCTTTGGCCCGGATTTTGGCTGGGGATTCCTGGCCTGGAGTGGAGTTTCTGAGTGCCGCGGCCCATAGTCCCTACATTCCCATCCTGGGAGTCTGCCTAGGGTTTAAGGTTTAGGGTTTAGGGCTTAATGCTTTTGGCATCCCAGATGCCAGGCAGATGCGCAACCAAAACGCCTCCAAATTCCAAATCTCCTGCTGGACAACTCAGAGGACTCAACAAACTACAAGAACAAACTAACAGGAGAAGAACATGGATACCCCTAACATATCCTAATATACTCCACAATGCCATGCTATCCTCATTTTCTGAACCTTCTCAGAAAAGGGCACCCTCATTGTGGAACGAAAGCAAAGCAAAATTGAACCAAACCCCAAAATACTACTAATTGCTTAAGAACCCCCAAAAAGCAAAAAACATTCTCCCGTACAAGGGTAATATAGGGATTGTCATTTTGCTTTTTTGTTTTATAAAAATTCTTTTGGGGTTCTTATTAAGCAAATAGTAGAATGTCACAAAGGAAGGCCTTTCGGCATGAAGGGGAAGAGCTGCTGCTGCAGGAGGCCGTGAAGCAACTCCACCTCAGGGAGGGGTTTGGGGTTTAGGGTTTAGGGTTTAGGGTTTAGGGTTTAGGGTTTAGGGTTTAGGGTTTAGGGCTTCAGGGCTATCACCCCCCCCCCCCCCCCCCCCCCAAAAAAAAGCGTCTCCGACCTTTGGATCCTTTAGACTCTCCGGACTCAAAAAAGGCCCTTTTACGTGCCCGAACTCCGAAATGCGGGAGAGGGTGATGGATTGGGGCTTCAGCTCTACAACTTCAGGGTATTCAGGTTTTGGGGTGCGCGACTTTTTGGCGCTTGGCTCTGGGTTTAGGGTGAGTCAGAAGGCTCGAGCTTGAGGACCCTCCGTGCCTTACCCCGACTCTGCCCTTTCACCCTAAACCCTAAACCCTAAACCCGACATTAAATGCCGGGTCAGGGTCTCTTGGTTGTGGGCGCTAAGGCTTTTGGAGCTCAAAGCGCGTTGAACATTCACACCAACATTCCCGAGTGCGTCTGCGCTCGCATGCCGGTCCAGAGGTTCGGGATCTTGAAGGTGGGGTCCCCCGTTCGCTGTCCCAAATTTTCCAAACCAGAGGGCCTCTTGGTCCCCTCCGGCAACAGCTGCTGCTTTGGCCACACGAAGAAGCACCTAGGCGATTGAAGCGACTAGCTTGATTCACCCGTTGTGCGCCAGGCTTGAACAGGGCAGCTGGGGTGTGTCATGCCGATGACGATAGACCGGTTTCATCAAACTCTTGCGCCTAGAATTCTACCAGCATATGAAGGGCTTCACACGTCGTTCTGCAGGCAGGATGAATTCAGGAGACGCAACACAAGAGCTACCTGCCCTCTCCCTCTCCACCTCCCCGCCCCCCCCTAAGCTCAGGGCGCGGAGAGGTACGATGAGGCGTTCCGGAGCAGCCTTTTCAAACGAAAGAATTCGGCCGGTTCGGGCAGCGTTTGGGGTCAGTGGTGCTAAAGGGGGAGGGGGGGAATGCTTTCTGTGTCAGGCGAGCTGCATTTGAGAAACCAGATCGAAAGTCTCTCAGCCCAAGTGCCAAGTGCTTCTATTCCATGATGTATCTTGGGTTGCAAGCCAGCGTGAGTCTGCTGGAGGTCTACCGCATTGCAAGATTTCACCCAAGCCTGCCAACACTTGGCACCTGGCTGCCAACACACAACCCAAGCCACAAATCCATGCACAAGCAAGTCCGCGGAGCTACTGGGTATGCAGGGATCTACACCCGAAGTTGCTGTGACCTTTACCTTCATCCCAACAGCCCGAAACGACAGCAACCCCGAACTGGACGTTTTATGAACCCCTAAGCCCTAACCCCTACACAGCAAACCCCTTCAAGCGAGAAAACCTCTTGAAAGTCTGCAAGCTTGAAAACCCTCAGGTGATGCCTTGGGCGCCTCTTCGCTGGGCCTTCCCTCCTCCGGCGAGGGGGCCTGCTAGCCGCTGCCGACGAGTTCAGTTGGTTGAGGCTTTTGGTTTTGCAGCTTCAGGCTTGGCGTGTTGGGGGGTTTAGGGTTTAGGGTTTAGGGTTTAGTCGGACTAAGGGTATGAAGTATTGCCACGACAATTCAGAATACGACGACAAGCTCGAACTCGGCTACGTAATTGTTGATGTGGTGACCCTTGCACATAAAGCGAATAAAAGCAGACATGAAAGAACCAAGAAAAACCTAGTCTGTCCAGAAACTTGCGATTAAGAATAAGAACACCATTCTCGGCATAAACTCATTAGTCTTTACCTTTTCTGTTTTCGGTGTTGCTTTCTCTTTTGCTGAAGCACTCCCTCTTGACGAATTTGCTTGCGTCAGTTCATCAACTTGCTTTGTTAATTCTTGACCACAGCCCCATAATACAACTAAGATCTTGTTTTATGCTAACAGTTTCAGACCATTATCATTATAATAAATAATGTTGCCCCATTCTTTTGGGAATTCGGCATCTTCCACATCGTCTGCCATAAATCCTGAAGTATCTTTTAGTTCCGTCATGAATGGCAGTACATGTTTTTGGATTTCACATGGTTGACTATCTTATAACGTTTTTTTCGTGCTAGCTTCCTTGATGTTTTCTTTTATCCATGTCGTCTGATTTGCTCCAATTAAGCAGTGCAGTGTAATGTTCCACCAAGTTCTGCATTTTGGGTGATGTCTCTGTGTGTTTTGTCCCAAAAACTACGCTGTAATTGAACTTCTGGTCTGATTCCTGTTGTTCCAACAGTTAAGCTTAGTGCTTTGTCAGCATTTCCATTTCTCAGCATCAAAACCCTAATCACTACAGCTTCAAGCTTCTTCAGTTGCCGATGAATGCTGAACATAACCCCTCCCTTAACATCCAAAATCTGCTTCTGCCGCTAGTTTTCTTATTCGCTTTTAAGCCCTAGATATTTGTAACTCCTCTGTTAACTGTATCTCCGTTAGTGCCTAGGCGTAAAAATCATTAGTACCAGTTATAGGGTCTGTGGTTCTATAAGTCTGCAATGATGGACTTCTTCTCCTTTGTAAAGCATTAATGAACTTTTTTGCTCCTGCTCTGTGAAATGCTCTACCATTTACTATTTGTTACAGCATTCTTCGGGAATACAGCATCCATCTTGAGCCACCGTTTTGCTGTCCCCCTCCCGGCGGCCTGGAACCCTAAACCCTAAACCCCAAACCCTAAACCCTAAACCCTAAACCCCAAACCCTAAACCCTAAACCCCAAACCACGCCTTCTTCGACTCAGCGGGCTGCGCCGCCGCCGCCACGAAGCGCTGCGCGGCCACAGTCGGCAGCGAAGGAACGACTTCTCCCAAAAGCTGCACCTGAGCCACCCTAAACCCTAAACCCTAAACCCAAAACCCTAAACCCTAAACCCTAAACCCAGGTAGATCTAAATCTACTGGTAGGCCCCTTTGGATCTCTGGAGTTTCAGGGTGTAGGATTCAGGCGTGGATCGGAGACTTCGGACAGCTTGTCCTGATGTCTGTCAGCTCGCCCCGGCCTCTTGAAATCTACTATTTGCTTAAGAACCCCAAAAGAATAAAAAAACAACAAGCCCTATATCACCCTTAGTAAGGAAGAATGTTTTTTCGGGGTTCTTAAGCAATTAGTAGAAATCTATATGCGGCCTAGGCAGACTCATGACCAGCATGGAACAATATAGGAGTTTACATGCTCTGAAGATGTGGTTACTCAAGGCTTGAGGAACAAGAGGCCTCAGATCTAGAGGGAGAGGGTTTCGGGGAAGGTTTTGAGGGTTTTGAGGATTGAAAAGTCAACCCTAAACCCTAAACCCTAAGGCTCTTGAGGATCATCCTTTCACTGAGTAGAGGGAGGGTCCACGCCCTCGTGCCCTGGAAATATTATCCTGCCCAGAAGCGAAAAGCAAACCAGCGAAGCCTCCTAAACAAGCTCCGCGACAGAGACCCGCCCCTCTTCTTCAACTCAAAAGCTTCCCAAAAAGCATTCAACGCCCTAAACCCTAAACCCTACACCCGAAACCCTGAACCCTAAACCCTAAGCCCTGAACCCTAAACCCTGAACTCTAAACCCTAAACCCTAAACCCCAAACCCTAGAATATCCGGGGCTCCAGCCAAGTCTTGGGGCCGTTGCTCTGGGTAGCCTGGGGGTACACATCTCCATGCGCGTAACCTCTGCAGCCCAACCTCCAATCAAGCAGCCTTAGGGTTTAGGGTTTAGGGTTTAGGGCTTAGGGTTTAGGGGACATTGAAGTCCCATCTTCAATCAGCTTTAGCACCTAGGGCCTCAAGTCCTAAATCTTTCATCTCCCATACGCTGTCAAACACCTGTGGCATTATGCCATAGCGCTGTGCGTGGCGAAGCAGGCGGCCACCTCCTGCTGGGGTTCAGGGTTTAGGGTGTCTGAAGGGGCTGACTGAAAGTCGGGTTCGTTGGGAGTCAATGCCTCCCGTTGGGAGTCAAAGCCTCCGAAAAGGCTTCACTACAAGGAGTCCTAAGAATCAGAGGCCCTAAACGTTCAGTTGTTTATTCTCTCTGCTTTAATTAGTCCTGTGTATAAGCCGTAAACCCTCTCAGCCCTACCTTCGGGATTAGATGAACCCTGAACGGTTTTATGGTTCATATGCCTTCATCCGAACTAGAGTCTTTTTGGGTCTGTGATCCCAAGCTTGGGGTTCATTTGGTCCCTATGGTAGACCCCCCCCCTAAACCCTACACCCTAGCCCTAAGCCCTAAGCCCTAAACCCTAAACCCTAAATTCTAAACCCTAAACCCTAAACCCTAAACCCTAAACCCTAAACCCTAAACCCTACGTACTAGGGTAGACCCAAGCTGCCTCCGTGAGCCAGGGGTGCTGCGACGTCGGCGGCTCTGCCAAGGCCAGCGCTTTGAAGGCGGGGTGGATGCCGGCCACCTGTTTAGGGTTTAGGGTTTGTAGGGGTTTAGGGGTTTAGGGTTTATAGGGGTTTAGGGTTTAGAGGGGTTTAGGGTTTATAGGGATTTAGGGGTTTAGGGTTTGGGGGTTTAGGGGGTTTCGGGTTTAGGGTTATGAGGGTCTGGTGTCAAGAGTTCTATTCTGGGGGCTTGGCCGCTGTTGCTAGTAAGTGCCTTCACAGCTGCTCGTCTCTACTGCTACTGTTCCTGACTCGTCACATGACAGCCTCAACACCGAAGCCCTGGACTCCAAGCCCCCCATGCGGTAAATGGCCAAGTGACGCGACAACCAGCTGCCGCATCGAAGCTCTCGCCTGGGGAGAGCTTGCCAAACCCTAGAGGCCTTAATCCTGAAGAGTTTGGGAGCCCTAAGTGTGTGTGTGTGTGTGTGTGAGGCCCTAAAACCCGAAAGCCCTGAACTCTGAAGACTTTGGGGTGCTGCTTGTGGCTTTACCAGGTAGTTTGGGGTCTGGAGGTTGATTGTGGGCGCTTGAGGCTGGATGCTGCAAGCTTGGGGTTTACTTTCGGGTATATTTGCTGTTTAGGGCCAACACTTGGGCGTTTTACGATTCATCGGGCTCGAAGATTCAGTTTCAGGGTTTAGCACTTGCTGCCCCAACTAGCACCCCCCCACCCTAAACCCTTAAACCCTTGAGCCCTTGAACCCTGTAGCCCACCCTAAACCCTAAACCCTAAACCCTAAACCCTAAACCCTAAACCCTAAACCCTAAACCCTAAACCCTAAACCCTCCAAACCGCAGACCCTCCCCCAGGGGGCGCGGCCGGCGCCATGGGCCTTCTGCCAGTGCGCGAAGCGGTCGCTGCGAAGGAGCAGCTCCCAAGCCGCACCTGGGGGTTTAGGGTTTAGGGTTTAGGGTTTAGGGTTTAGGGTTTAGGGTTTAGGGTTTAGGGTTTAGGGTTTAGGGTTTACGGTTTTGGGTTTAGGGCTTCGTGTTTAGGGTCTCTAGGCCCTATAGGGTTGAGGGCTAGTGTTTAAGGTCTCAGGGCCTTATTCAAAGATGCAATTTGGGGTTTTATTTTCTGGGTTCTCTAGAGTTGATTTTATAAAGCCAGAAAACCCCTCGTGCCCCCAAATCCAAAAACAACAGAATCCTGATCTTTTGGGGGTTACAGCAACGGCCCAGCCTTTAGAAACCCACAGCAACACATGGCAAGAACCGCTCCTTGGCTGTCGCCGGCAACCGCCAGACAGGCCTGTCGGTCCTCTGCCGCAGGGAAAAATTGAGGGGTCCGTCTGTGAAGGCCATCCAAATAAGGAACATCCCGCCAACATCCTGCACCGTCTTGGCTTCCATCAAAACCCTTTCCCAAAGTCCGCAACACTCAGCGCCGCCCCCCTCCCAAAGCCCGCGAATCAGGACAAAGGCACGCGATCATTAAACTGCATGAGGAGCTTCTTGATTTGGGAAAAGGGAGGGGAAAGGCGCCCATTCATGGGATTGTCCTGTCAACCTTATGTCTTACTGTGTGGCAATCACCATTTTTCACCCCATTGCTTAATTGCTTACGGCGCACCAAAGCAAAAAACAGCCCTAAGCCTGGGCCCTGCTGAGGCCTGCAAGAGCGGTGCCAGAGCGCACAGCGCGTCACCCTTGAGGCGATGGGCGCCGTCGAGGATGCAGAGAGCCCCTTTGGCTTTGGGCTTTTTCAGGCTGCTTTAGGGACAGCTAGGGTTCAGGTTTTTGGTGGGGCGTAGGGCGCATTTAGGGCTTGAAGAGTTTAAGGCTTGAGAGCTGATGACGGGGCTCGATTTTCATTATGGGCTCGGGGTCTTCGGGTTCTTTGATGTTTGGCTTCGAGGACTTAAGCATGGATTAGGGATGCCAATAAGCTGATATGGGTGGTTTGAGGGCCTGGTTGCCGACCCTCATGGACCCTGCAAAGCGACCTAAACCCTGCATCTGTAGC